ACAATTACACGCCGAATCAAGCTTTGAACGGAAGAACCCCAACGGAAGTTTTCTTCGGCGGGCAACTGCGGCTCCCTTTCGCGATATTTAGCTCGAGAACCGAGAACCAACTAGATCTCAGCTGCGGCCGTGGGCTCCAAGCGAGACTACGACCGCCACCATGGAGCGCGCTCCCGTCTTTTCGTCGCTTGAAAACAGGTACTTGTCGGTCTCAACAAGAAGCGCCGCGTTCACGGTCTGTTTGTGGAGCGAATCGGTAAGGCGATGGCGCACTTGGAGGTGAACGGCAAAGTCATCCGTCGCCACATCAAGGACCGCCTGTGGACAAGAAGAGTTTTTGAACCTCCGCCAAGCGAAGACGATGTCGAAGCGTTGTTTCCGTCTTTCCCGGTCAAACCTCTTGCTCCTGGGGCCCCGACAGATTCTCCACCTCAAGCTGCTCCTGATCCCCAACCAGTTGGCACAATTTCTCCGGAGCGAGAAGAGGCTCCTATCACCGCGCCGTCGGGGACATCTCGAACGCTTGGACGGACTGTGTCAGGCTAGCCGGTTTCCGTCGCTAAGAGCTCGACAACCGTCTACGAAGGGAGAAATGTTGTGTTCCCGCCGTCTGGTTCAAACTTACTCCGCCTAACTCTATCGAGAAGTTATGAAGCTGAAATAAAAAGCTCACTCGCTTTCACTCTAGCGCACGAGTTTCTTGCTTTCTCGTGTCTTCCCTGCAGAGAACACTCCACGCGGGACTCCTAGTCACCCTGCAGCACCTCGAGCACCTCAGAGCGCTTCTAGAACGACTTCGGGACAACGGCTCGGTCATCCCGGATTAATGCTGTAGGTGCCTCTGTGGTGTGTGGTGTCACGGAATGCTTTCACGGTCTCTCTGGAGGATTATTGGAACTATCACCGCATACCCTTACAAAATCCGTGATTTCTAGATTCGAACAGAAATTCGACCGTCCGGACTCTCACCAGCTTTATTTGTTCCAACTTCCGAAAATGTGAAGCAATCTCTCGGGGAGAACACGCACATAGGGAGGAGTTTTTTTGAAACGGACACAGTCCGTGATACTGGGATCCATGAAGCTTCGAGGCTTACAAAGAACATGCTCCTCATCCAACAACTCGATCGATTTCGTCGCAATTCGTTTCCTCAGCCAATCCATCCTTAGGCAATCGAGAGCATTGCCTGGGGAAAAACTCCGGTCGTCAGACTTATGCGCTTGCTTTCCTCGGCACCAGCAGCGCAGTAGGTGAGCCAGACGTTGATGCAAGGAAACTTGAACGAGAGCCGAAATTTCTATAATTTCCGCTGATATGGGACTTACCCACAAGCGACAGTTCCATCGGTCGATCCCCCAGTGTCTCTTCGGGAAAGTATTCGATTCTATTATGCGAGAGATCTAATTTCTTCAATTTCGGCAGACTCGTCAATGAATCAGGGCTGACGCTTCTGATACCGCTACCGATTATTCTCAGCTCTTCAAGTTCGACTGCTTGCAGCGGGAGAATCCTTGTGGTGAGCTCCGTCATTTTTGTATCGACGATTGTCAGGGATTTTAACTTCTTCAGATTTCGGAGGCTCCCAACTGGAAAACAGTCCGGACAATCACGCAACCAACTCAGGAAAGGTGCTGCATGTTTTGATCTCATAAGCGTGGATTCAGACGCTCAGTAGATGACAGTCTGTGGTATGAATTATTAGGAAACAACTGAATCTTACAGTCAAAATTCTCACAAAGGGAGATTGTTAAAGTCGTCACTCCGTGCAGATCCCCGAGTGTTACGTCCCTCTGGGAGAAGAGTTCCACCGTCTTAGCGCTCGAGCTGATGAGAAATAGAGGGGATTAGTCTCTCCAATCAGGAGGGGCACCGAGTAAGGAAATCACAACCCGAATGAAATCCTCCCGGGATTCCTTCTTGCTACAATCTACATTCGACCCTGAAGAATATGGATTGGATGTAAACTGTGGTCTCTTCAGCGCGCAGAGTACGCTCAAATGGGAGCGTCGTTCGAGCGCCCACGCCACGAGTGTATCCTGAGAGCAAAGATCTGCGAGGGCTGGGAGATTCTGGCGCTCAAATCTTCCCTCACCGACGCTCCGTAAGAACTATACAATGCCCGGGAGTATTGAGTTCTCGACTAGAGGATAGTTTCGGACAACTTGAGGACTTGGATGAGTCGCTTACCTCATGGCGGAGAAATAAGCTGAGAGGTCCATTTCGCAGACTCTGAAAACCCAGTCAACGAATGGGCATTCAGGGGGAGCGCCATCGTATTTGAAAGCAGAGAGCATGAATCGCTGTATTGTGAGATTGCAGAAAGGAGAGAAGAAAGTCTTGCCCACGCCTCCCGATTGTCCGATCAGGTGGGACTTCAGTGTGTTGACAATCCGAGGAACGAATGTCTGCGAGAGGAAGATTCCGCGATCAAAATCTGATTGTGTCCATGGCGAGCTAGGGTGTCATTATGTCAAGAACTCTTACCTCCTTCACTTTTTCTATTTTCAGCTCGCCGAGTAGCTCGAAGCTCTGCAAAGTCGGAGGTACGATGTTGGTCAATATTCAAGATCCCATTGATTTTCCTCATTGAAGTTCGAAACAAGTCGAGTATCGGCCAGTAGTAGCCCAAAATCGTTCGGATGGGGCTTTTTGGAAATAACTAGCGAGAGCACTTGATATGAGACGTAATTTGTCGCTGAAAAAGTCAAATCGGGATCTGAACTTACGGTGATATTGACATCTTTAAGAAGCTCAGCGACTTTCGCAGGCGTTTCTGATACCCAGTCAAAAACGAAACATTCAACCGTGATGCCCTTGACCGCAGAGCAACTACAACCGAGATGCCTCAAGGGCTCTGAGCTGGGACAAGCTACTTCACTTCCCGCCAGTGAAGTTGACGCAAGCAGAGTCATAAGTACTGCTATGCGAATCCTGGAAAGAGAGATCAGATGTTACCACTGGCATGCATAGACTTCCTCTTAGGGGAGCAATGATTCGGATTGATGAAGCGCATCCTCAATGTCTACCCTTCGGTATGACGATCGAAATATTTCATTTAGGACGGGGTCATGCCGATGTCGCTCACTCACATTTTCCTCAGCAGCGCCGGATCACCGCGATCGGGTACAGCTGAAGAAGACAGCGTAGTGTCGCATACAACACAGGAGTTGTTCTTCAAATATCCTAGATTTCCTTCCATAGCTGAAGGTGGGAAGGGCAGATGGGGAGGATCTCTGAGATGCAATTTGGCCCCCGACGCCGATAGTCTCCGTGATTCGCAGAACTTCAGAAGAAAAATGGGAAGGGTTCATTATCTAGTATTTCGAAAAGCGAGGATTTCGACATCAATGAACCCGTCAGAATGTATCGCCCAGGACAGCCATGGATACGGAGAGGGCGCTCTGATTAGAGCAACTTCATTCATGAAGGCAGCAGGGTTCAATTCTAGACGGTAGCCTGGCGCAATCAAAATCGAATCGAGTGCCATCTTAGGGTTCAACCCCGATCGCCGATCGCTGCATCAAACTAGAGTTTCGGGGTAGAGAGAGTTTTTCACATGTAGGTAGTCGAAAGCACCCTTTCAAAGATCGCTCTCTCTCAACGTGAAAGAGTAGACTCCAATGATGACCCAAGCGCAAGACCAAATTCGATTTGCTATGCGCTGACATCGTCGGGGAGCGAGGACGATTGCCCTCTCGTTTGCCATACTTGCGAGAATGTTGTTTGCATTACAGTGGATCTATCCAACTCGATGCCTCAAATAGCACGCCGCGCGCTTTCCGCGTTTTTTGCGGGGATTGTGAGCAGCGACGGGCGGACTGACATCGGGTGTGATGCTGGCTGATGCTCATGCTGCACCTAATTTATATATCGTGCATCGGTGCCACCGTTCCCGCTGCTTTCCCTGCTGTCGCCCTCACGTCGCTGTTCTCGCCTGAGGCGTGAATTCATCTTGTTCGAGTAATACGTACACGAAATACAACGACTAAACATGCACTCTGGGTAGACACGTTTGTGACGAAGCGTGAGGGCGTCCGTAAGAATGGGGTAAAGATAAGAACCGTATCTAGGAGGTATGTCTCCATGCCTCCATTCAACGGCGGCGGTCGTGATTAAAGAGTTTGCCGTTTGCTACCACAAATGATCCTCTCCATTTTGTGACCGAGTCGGATCCTATCCCACATGAGAAGGTGCAATGCCACAAATATCCTAACCCAGATCTTCGAGTCCCCTCCCAATGATGAATGAGTATTCTTCCATGAGAACAATGCCCAGAGGTGGAGGAAAATTTCGGAGAGGATTGAATAAAAATTTACGGCATGTTGGAAAAACGGAAAACTCACGGCTCTTGCCGCGACCGTTAATGCCAGCTCGGAGCCGCTGAGAACCCTCCAGCCGACTCAAAACTCTATGATTGCTGGGCGCAGAAACTGCTCTTGACATCATCGGATGAGGATGTACTCGGCGCGGCGAAAGAGCCGCCGTCGGGCGAGAGATTCTAAACGACGAGTTAGAAACGATCCTCCACTTGGCCGAAAGCACTCACTCATAGGCTGGAGCCTGTCCGACCGCCCGCGGGTGACTCATTGCTCATTGCAGACGTCAAGAATGCATTCATCAATATAGACATCTTCCCCTCGCCCTTTTTTGTTATTGTTGTTGTCCGTACAACAACATGGCCATGAGAGAGCGCCAGTCATAAGCTGTTGCTGAACGGAGCAGCGCAGAGGGGAGAAGCGGTGAAGCAGCCACGCAGCGGCGGAAAGAGCCAAGGTCTCGTCGTCCGGATCACAACTGTTACCACTCAGTAACATCGCCGCGCCTACGGAAAATTCTCGAAATTGTGAATAGAGGGACGACGACTCTCGCAACTCGCGAGCACGTCTGTCCTCGTCGAGCAGCCGCTTCTCCTGCCAGATTCAGCCGCATTGTGATCGTTTTCTCGCTTCGGTCACCGATTCCATTGCTCTGGTCACTTCTGTGTGACTTCGTGCGAGATCTCGTCGATGCCTCCAGGCAGGGAATCTAATCAACGGTCCTAGTTGACTAGAAGTATCCCGCTGTGTTCCCGCTCTGGACAGACTTCCTCGATAAGCCGGTAAGTGAAACTCTCTTTTTTGGTTCCCGCTTGTTTGGAGTAGGGCCTCGGTTTTCCTTTCTGATTAGCTCGTTGACTCATCCATGGCTGCATTAGGTTTTCTGTCCTATCTTCGGATGCACTATCGTAGTACGTACTGTAGATGGCTGTGTGCAGATGAAGCGGCTCCCAGTATTGGGTATTTGGGGAATTGCCGTCACAGCAACGCTGCGGATCTCCGGTTTCGAGAAATGTCGCGTCGATGGAGCCATCATCATCTATGAATTCCCAATAGCGCTCCGTGTTGTCTCCGCTCAGGACCCGTTGGGTTTTCTCTCCCGTCCTTGGTCACGCTACGTTGAGGATTCTCGTAATTATCGGGCGGGAAGCACTCCCGTGCTTCGATGATCTCGGTGGAGCATGAAGAGACCCTCGCTCGGTCGCCTCCATCTCTGATCGAATAAACCCCAGGAATTCTCAGTTCCATCCTGACAGGACTCCTCGGGAGGATTGTGATGCCGTCTCCGGGGAAACGTCGGAGGAAATCTGGGCATCCATGTCGAAAACGTACGAAACCGTACCCCCAACTTCCATGCGGTGTCATTCCTTAATTCATAATCGGCTGAGTAAACTCGAGTCCGAGAAAGTCTGCTGAGGCTGAAGTGAGTCTTCAGATTTCCATTATGCCTGGCTCTCCGAAGTGCACGCTCGTGTTGGTCGCCATGACGTGTTCCTGAGCAAACAGATCAGAATGAAGCTCACCCTTAGATGGGCATATTGGAATGGAAGATTCCCCGAGGGCCGATCTTCTGTCGAATTTAATACGAAATCCACCTGGGACTCCGGAGGAGAATGGTTCTGAGCCCGCTTCCATCCCCCAGTACCTGAATGACATGGTCCTCTCTCAAAGAGAACCCTTCTCACTACGAGCTTCGCTGTCAGGGGTCTGGACTCCCAGCGATTATATACCCTATTCTATTCTCATCCAGATTAACTTGACAGCTTGGAGGCGTGATTTCCAACCAACGCAGCGGTCGGATCCCACCAGCATATTCGCGATTGTTTTGGTTGATGCTGGAGGAAATTGTTGAAGCAATTCGCGTCCGACACCGGCAGGCCTCGAGAGCTTGAGACTTTCGGACGTGATCGTTCCGCTAGTCTCATCGATCGAATCTAAGCTCTCCTCCAAGTCGGAAGAAGAACTGAATTCGATAATCTTCTCCGGAATTAAGCGAAACCGGTAAAGGATCTCACCAAGGAACTGACGGCGATTCATGCTCGCAGACATGTTCAATCATCGTCCTTGTTGATGGTTGCAATCGACATCGGATCTCGGTGATACATCCGATCTTCGCTCCGAAAGTGTTCGTTTCTGATCTCGACGGGGACTTTCCCTAGAGCCGCCTTTCCGTATCCTTTGGGTATGAGCGTTCCCGGACCGCGACCAGTGCTTGAAGAATATAGGTACTCCAATCGTGACTCTGGAGAATCCGCGATGCATGCTTCCAATTCACATCACAACACTGACGAATATTAATTTTTCATTGGATTATTTTTCAATCCGACTAGAAATTTTCTGTATGGGTCAATCTTATTGGCCCGCATATATATTTGATATTTCTTTGGAAGGGGTTTCCGGGAAAGCTTGGCTTGGAATCGGTCGCGTCATTACCCCTTGCGACATGTGCTGTCTATTTCGCTTGTCTGTTAGGTTTTTTGGTTGGAGAGATAATCGTCTACCGGCTTAGCAGTAGCTCGCGTACACGAAGTTTGTTTTTGTTGGTTTGAACGGACTGCCGGCGGGATAACGGGAGAGTCTATCTGCTTCATTCTAGGTGGCGGCAGTGTTCGTTCAGCCAACATGAACTGGGAAAAAGCTGAAACCGAAGTCAATCTATTCTATGCCCTTACCGGACACAAACCGGTCGGTATCGCGAAGCATTTCCAAATGCTTTTCCTGCACGACAAATTCTGTCGTCTCGCAAATCAAGATGTGTCCTCGAAAGTCCTTTGGGACCGTCTCGAAGAGTTGTGGGATCTTGAGGCGCTCGACAAGAGTGAAATATCGCCTTTCCCTAATTCGCGCACGGTCGACTTCGAGCTGCCTGAAGACGAATTCGGTCAGCTGATTCAAATCCGCAGAAAGGCAGCCGGGAACGACTTGAGCGACGAGGACACGACCAGCGATGACGTTAGAAGCAGCAGCGTTACCAACGTCAGCGAGGACGAGTCCACGACCGATGGCGACATTTCCTCAGAGAAACGGCTCCCGCCGAAAAAACCGGCCACAGGTGGCAAAACCGGCAAAGGCGACTGGACCCCTGCGAAAGCCTGTCCCATACCTACATTCAGTAATACGGCCAGAGCGCGGCGAGCGGCGATCGGCGAGACGGCCATGTCTGTCCCATCTCCCTCCTCGAGTTCAACAAAGAGCGCAACGCCTGCCCCTGAAGCTGCCGCTACACCCTCGGACACCAAGGCGACGGGTGCAGGTGCAGCCGTCGTATCCGCTAAAGAGAGGAATAAGACTCCCCAACCCGAAACATCGGCTTCGACGACGGCGGTCAGCAACGTGGACGGCGGCTCTTCAGGATCCTCAGCGGCAGTAGCAGCGACGTCAGCCTCCGATCACTCGGAAGCGAGATCGACCTCTCCAGCTTTCAGCAACGCTCCGGGCTCAGCTGCGACAGCAGTGGCTGGCTCTGCGTCTTCTGCTGGTGCGTCCGCTGGCGCATCTGTGTCCGCACCCTCGAACTCACCGCCCTCTTCGACACTATCGTCCACCACGTCGACGTCCACGCCGGCGAACTCGTCGACGACCTCGTCGACGGTTCTCTCCAACGCCGCAGTTCCCGGTTCAGCAACAGCGGCTCCCGGCTCACAGGACGAGAAGAAAGAGTCCGGAGCGAGTAATCACCACAGTGCTTCGTCTTCGCAGTCTCGTCGGAGCGGATCGACCAAAGACTTGAAGAATAAAGACGGAGCTTCGAAAGCGTCAACGACGACGACGACCAAAAGAGAGTCATCTACTCAGTCGGTTCGGAGGAGCGATCACAAGAAACACGACGATAGCGCCAAGAGTAGGAGGGTCACCGACGTAAAGAAAGAGCAGACAGAGAAGCGCACCCGGACCTCGTCAGCCACCCAAGAGGACAAGGACAGCAAGGAGAAATCCTCAGATAAAACATCTTCGAAATCGACTTCGAAACGGAACGACTCGCGAAAGCCCGCCAGCCATCAGGAACCGGTCAAGCGAGAGACACCGCAAAGAGGAAGATCCTCCCGTAATGTCTCTCCTGCGCCATCGACCGGTAGTCGCCGCAATGCCTCGCCGGCTACCTCCAAGAGGAACTCTAGCCCCTCAACGACGAGTGCCAGAAGGACTGCCTCTCCGGCGACCACTTCATCGAAGACCCCGTCGACAACCCCCACCGTTGCTGCTGCGAAACCAGGTCACACCCGTAAAAGAGCAACTCGCTCAGAAACGAGCAGTCCGGCGAAT